AGTCATATTGGCAGAGGAGAATTCTGCTGCTTTTTTATTTTTGAGGTTTTTTTTTTTTTTTGCGGTTTTTATCAGTTTTTTTTTGAGTTTTGAGTTAACAAACAAGTGTTTTTGATGATTTTGTCTTCTTTGGTTTTTATAGCAGAGGTATTGTGTGAAAAAAGAGAGTTTTTTTTTGCCTTATTTCTTCATGTTTATTTGGCTAATTTCGAGTCTTAAAAGAGGTTTTTGAGGCAAAGTGTTAATTTTCCTTGATCTGATTTCTTCATATATGGATCATAGAACTCCCAATCCTGAAATTTTATTTTCTTTTTTATTTGTTTAATAGTTAAGAGGTGGTAAATTACTTTGATGTTTATCACAAATGAAATATATTTTATCTCGAACTTTGTGTTATGAGGAGGTTCATGCACTCGATTAAGCCTTTTTATCTGCTTTGGCACCAAGTTTAAATTTTGCACAAACTAGCTTCTCATTAGATCAATTTTACACTGGAATAATCTATAAAAATAACTAATTTATATCAATGATCATCAATAATATCACCTAATTGCCAAAAAAAAAAAAATGCAGGTGTTTAATCTTTGTGCAATTAGATGCAAGAATCGTGATGTTTTTGAAAAAGGAATAAAACCATATTCTGAAGTGGAGAAGTTGATAAAGCAGAATAAACCTCAATGGGGAAGTTTCTAAAACAATATGACAGAGAATACATGAAAATGGCCATGTTGAAGCATGAAGAGACCTTCAAACACCAGGTGCACTGCACCTTATATTATTTTATTTTATATTTATTCACATTTATTTATTATGAAAGCTTCTAATTCTCATTTATCTTCTTGTAACTCATACAGGTCCATGAATTACATCGACTCTATCAAATTCAGAAGATTCTGATGAATGAAATGAAGACTGCAGAGCTGAAGAAGCAGCAAGCTTCTTCCAATTCAGAAAATAAGCCAGACAAGCGCTGCGCAGAAAAGAGAAGACTGAATCGAACACTGGAACTTGAACTGAATGCAGAAGAATACATAGGAAAAGAAAGCAAAGCTGAAGAAGGAGAGCTGGAGCTGACTCTGGCTACAGGAAGCAGGAGGAGGAAGAAAGAAGAAACTTCTTTTACTTCTGATTCTGGAGCAAGTTTCTCATGGTCTTCAGCTGAGTCAAGTGGGGTGAAATTAATGGGGAAAGAAGGGGGATTGTTTCAGGCTAACAGCTTTCAGAGTGAGAGGAAGAGTTCTTATGATGTTGAAGAACAGGTGAGGCAGAATAGTATGAATCAGTCGCCTTGGCTCTTGCAGTGTTTGAGTTTGAACATGACATGATTATCTCTTCTTCTTTTTTCTTTTTTTTGGTGATCATTTTCAATATAAACACCCTTGTTGAATCTTAGGGATCATAATCTTCTTTGGTGAACAAAATCTAAATTTTGCTATTTGAGATGAAACTAGTTTATGGGCAGTAGCTTGAGTTTTGTCAAGAAATCTATGTGATGCATATCATTAAATGTCAAAAGATGGAGTACAGAGAAAGGATTTAAAAATCTTGTAAATGGTATACTGCACAAAACCTTCCAAAAAATGCATGTATGACCAAAAGACAAAATTTAAAGCAAAAAAATATATGAAATTTTTTTGCAAAAAGGAGGAAAAGGTAGAGCTGGTGGTCATGTCTCTAGCAATGGAGAGCTTCGATCATGGCAAGGAAAACACCATCAAATTGAAGTCGACAACCTTGAATACAACCAGCAAAACATGGGGTGACGCCGTGAATAACGCTAGGACAATGCTCAAAGAAAGGAGGGGAAAACCCCTTGAATACCACTAGTGAAACTCATGATACAACCTTCAATAACACCATCAAACCGCGTAGTAACACCATTAAGAACACGATCATACAACCTTCAATAACTACATAAAAAATAATCCTACCAAACCATTAAGAACACGATCATACAACCTTCAATAACTCCATAAAAAATAATCCTACCAAAACGTGGGATATAAAATAATCCTACCAAAACCACGAATAACACCGATAAAACGTAGGATAAAACCTTCAATAATACCCACAAACTGCAGAATAAAACTCTCAATAACACTGTCAGACGCATTAATATTACCACTAAAAGAGATGATACCAAGTCGGATGACACCACATAGAAGGAAAAAACTATGAATAACACCTGATCTTGGGCGCAATAACACCTGATCTTGACTTCTATAACTCCAACATGTAAATATCATGCATCACATAAAAATATGGGTACTTCACCTAAACTTTATTATGTGGTATGTAAATAAATTTCTCGAAAAAAAAAAATCACAAATGTATTTTTTGCAACATATGTCGCACCACAAAATTTCAGTACAAACCCAACAAAATTTGGTTCACAAATTCTCTTGGACATGTCCAAACTTTCAACTTTTAATATAACATCTTTATTTAGTTAAATGTAAAATATTAGTGAAAAATAAATTGGTGTTAAATAGCGCAATCAAATAAGCATAAACATGAACTTCGATTACATTTATAACTTTATTAATATATCTCACGTCTAAATACACAAAACAGAAGTAAATATAACACATAAATATTACGTGTAGATGATCTGTACGTATGGGCGGGTGCACCCGGAGTGTGCACTCATAATACACACATAAATTTCACTTATATAGCACACACTAATCATTGAATACAACAACAACAACAAAAAAAACAACAAAACCTTGATGCCACTACGTGGGGACAACTATTTTCACTCTATTCAGGTTTACAACGTGTCGCTTCCAGGAAACGCCCTAACACTTGCACAATAATAAAAAAGATTTATGTTATGATTTTTTCAATAAGCTTTACGCTAGTTGTCGACTACCTAATGCACATTAATCATTGAATGACGAATAAAAATAATTGAATCGATTGATAATAAACATGTTTCCTTAAATAGTAAGCATTGTGTTCTTTAAATAAACACATATGAAAGAGCCTAAATAAGGCAAAATTCATATTGTAATTAAACTCCTAATAAAAGAAAAGGTTAAAATGAAATTTTGATGGCTATGCATGCACTGCTCTAACATTCAAAGCAAAAGCAGAAATGATAGATAAAGACCCTTTATTTGATGTGAAAGTCAACGGCTATAATCTAATTTAGAGAATCTTTCAGCAGTTTCTTTACTTAATGATGCCGATATGTATAGATTCTCTCTCCCCATCACCCTCCCCCCCCCCCCCTTCCCTCCCCCCCCCCCCCCCCCTCTCTCAAGATATTAAAGTAAAAATGTGCATAGATGCCACAAAATTTCTATGTATTTAAATATTTTATTTTTGGCATTTGATCGAAATTAAAAGACTAAAATTAAATAATATTTGAGCTGATCGGCTCACTCGTTCAACTCAGGTTTTGACCAGTTCAATTCTGGTTCTATGAAGAAACAGTTTCGAGCTTAAACCGAACCTGTTGAATGGTTCAACTATTTTAGCTCGGCACTTTACTCTTTTACCCATACATGAAATTGTATATTTTACCCTTAGAGAGTTAGTAATAGTAATATTTTTTTATGAGATATGAAATATTTGAATGCTAGAAATGTAAAAAAGCAAAATTTAAATGGTAAATTTGTAAATTCATTAGAATTGTGTGGTATGTTTGTAAAGAAAGCATAATCTGTCTCTGGTCTAAGTTGCTCTTAATTTTTTTTTTTTTGTGAGATCTAAAAATTGAAATGGACATAAATATTTTTATATAGTTATCGATTCCCTATAAATGAATGCATGAATGAATAAGTTAATGATGCGCATAACACCAATGATGTCAAGGCAAACTAACGTACAAAGCACTTAAATCAATTAATTTATTCCTTGATGCCATTTTATATAGTTATATTATAGTTATCAATTAAGGATAACATTCAAATTATAAGAAAAAAATCAACATTAAATTCATGCTTATTCGAACACCTATCTTTAGTTAAATTAAACAAATTTGATAGCCGTTGGTATGGCCAAGCTATAACAAGATAAATTTCTATGTACGATCATTGTTGCTCGTTGGCCTTTCTTGGTTCGATCGGCTGACTCAATTGATCCCCTACCAATTTGACGGAACATCAAGTTGGTTGGGTCGACACGTGTTGTATTTACAATTGTTTGATACGGTCCAACATATTTTAATCATACAGATAGTGTCATGGACCGAATAAAAAATAAAATGATATAATCTAAGTTGAAAAATAGGGATCTTTATCAACTCACTAAAGCTTCAATATAAAATCCACCACTTTTGAAGTCCAATGCCCTATCCCCAAATCAAATATTTTATATAAAATGATAAGTATATCATTTCAAGTCTAGATTCATGAATGAAGAAGTTTTATAGCGTTGGAAAGAAGCAATTTGACTAAACTATCATAATATATGAAGTACTATTGATGTTTCTTTAATAATTAAACTGCGGTACATAATCTTTATGGATAGGATTTATCAAAATAAATAAAGGTTTCTTCTAGGCCGACCGACTCGTGAGTTGGCTCGAGCATGGCTCTATAAATGGTTCATAGGTTGAACTCGACGAGCTAACAAGACAAGTCTGAGCAAACTTTGATTCAACTCATTAACTCGTGATCCAACTTGTTTAGAAAAATTAATTAAATTTGAAGAGTTTTAATATAAACTATCAAAAATATTTAAAATACGTATTTTATTTTCTTCTACCGATTGACTTGGCCTCAGTAGCTTTGACTGCATTTTTGCTGAAAAATAAGAAAAAGAAGAGGCAGCTCAAGACTAACTCAAAGCACCCACTAAAATATGCGATAATGTGATAAATAATTTAGAATTGTGTTGAAAAAAAAATAAAAATAAAAACCATGGATTTAAAAAATAAATTGAGGTCTATCTGATCAAACAAGTCGTCAGAATGACTAAAAATAAAAGATTAAGATTTAAAATTAAAAAAAAATTTATTCAAATTATTTAAAACTGAAGTGTGTTGACTTTGAGAGAATGACTAAAAATAAAAGATTAAGATTTAAAATTTTAAAAAAAAAAATTATTCAAAATATTTAAAACTGAAGTGTGTTGACTTCGAATATTATATATTGAATTAGTAAAATTATAATTATTATGTTTATTATTATATCATTTAAAAATAACTGTCAAGATTTGGGATCATCACAGTTGATAATATTCAATATCTTAGAGCAAGTAGTGTAATCAATGCAATGGGTAACCTTTTCATGAAGAAAATAATGCATGTGCTCCAATCTTAAGATCATGTATCATCCTTTCTTGCATGATCAGCCACGAACTTGTACATTAAAGGAGCCAACTTTGCAATGAAAAGCTAAAGTTTTCCATTCAAATGTCCCTTATTTTGCCACACTAAGAGAGGATTGTTTTTTATACCACTCTCTTTCTTTATTTGTGTGGTTAATTCATGCACTTCTCCCTTTCATATTTTTTACGTACTTTAAAAAGGTCTTCTCATGCTTTCTGATAATAGTATAAAAATTGACCCGACAAATCAATTCGACCGAGCTCGACTCAAAAATTCGAGGTTCGGGCTGACCGGAATAATTCTCAATTTGGTTTGGATTAGGAGTTCTAACCCGTTTACTTTTTCAGACTGTATTTGGGTAAACCCACCAACTCAAAAATAATTCATAATTGACCATAATAACTATTTTTTGTTATGTTGAATGGGTTATGTGGGTTGATTTAGGGTCAACAAATTGATTTCCACTCAGTTTTGAGTTAGACTTTCTGACCTGTTTAATATTCTGATCTAATTTTGGTCAAACAATTTCAGATCAAGTCAAATTAGGGTCAAACTTGAATTTGACCCACAAACCCAATTTGAAAGCCCTATTTTCTAATAATTGAATTGCAATAAAATAAAACTTAATATTATAAATTAGTAGAGAAACTTGATAGCTAATCACTTACTTTGGAGAAGCTTGATGACAAATCTATAATTAGGAACTTTGGTGAATTTAAGATATTATTTTGGTGCTTATGGTATGATTTTCCTTCAACTTTACCCCAAGACTTGAAGCCTACCCTAAACCCCAAGAATGTTCTATATTGCCTCCCTTGAACTTTATGAAGTGGCAGCTATAGGATCGTGTAAGGCAAATAGGCCGGGAGAAGTAATTGATCTTCATCTCATTTGGAAATAATCAAAAGAGTTGATGGATTTTAATTTATAATTTCAAGTGGCAAAGTTTGAATTACATATGCAATCAAATCTATTTATAAATAATATATAGAAAGTTATTGATTACATAAATTATATTTTATTTATTGATACTTTTTTTATTGTAATAAAATACTTGATTTATTATGATCATAGCACCAAGTCTAAACCTAAAAATTTAGAACAAATTTATTTTAATGATTTTGAGAGTTAAAAGGGTAATGTTAT